ATGAATCATGTAGGCCTCATTAATGACAGCCAAGTTGTTATATTACAAAAGACCTTCAAATGTGTATACCAAAAGCAATTTTAGTTTAATATAAAAATATCAACCAAGGCAACTTGAGTTGTTGAGTTATTGGTCAGAAACCGTCATTAAGTACAAGGTCAATATGACATTGACCCCTTGACCCCAAAATCAATAGGGGTCATCTACTGATCATGACCAATCATCATACCAAGTTTGAAGTTCCTAGGCCTAAGCGTTCTTAAGTTATTGATTAAAAACCGTTTTTACCTACAAGGTCAATGTGACTTTGACCCCTTGATCCCAAAATCAATAGGGGTCATCTGCTGGTCATGACCAATCATCATACCAAGTTTTAAGTTTATAGGCCTAAGCGTTCTTTAGTTATTGATCCAAAACCGTTTTTACCTATAAGGTCAATGTGACCTTGACCTTTGACCCCAAAATCAATAGGGGTCATCTGCTGGTCATGACCAATCATCATACAAAGTTTGAAGTTCCTAGGCCTAAGCGTTCTTTAGTTATTGATCGGAAACCGTTTTTACCTATTAGGTCAATGTGACCTTGATCTTTGACCCCTTGACCCCAAAACCAAAAGGGGTCATCTGCTGGTCATGACCAATCACCATACCAAGTTTGAAGTTTCTAGGCCTAAGCGTTCTTTAGTTATTGATCAGAAACCGTTTTTACCTACACGGTCAATGTGACCTTTGACCCCTTGACCCCAAAATCAATAGGGGTCATCTGCTGGTCATGACCAATCATCATACCAAGTTTGAAGTTTCTAGTCCTAAGCGTTCTTTAGTTATTGATCGGAAACCATTTTTACCTTACAAGGTAAATATGATCTTGACCTTTGACCCAAAAATCAACAGGGGTCATCTAGTAGTAATGAATAATCATCATACTAAGTTTGAAGATTCAAGGATTAAGTGTTCTTTAGTTTTTGATCGGGAACTGTTTTTACCTACAAGGGCAATGTGACCTTGACCGTTGACCCCTTGACCCCAAAATCAATAGGGTTTATCTGCTGGTCATGACTGATCAACATACCAAGTTTGAAGTTCATAGGCCTAAGTGTTCTTTAGTTATTGATCGGAAACTGTTTTTACCTACAAGGTCAATGTGACCTTGACCTTTGACCCCTTGACCCCAAAATCAATAGGGGTCACCAATCTGAAACTGTTTACTATTATTCTTGCATAACTTCCTGCCTCAGGTCATTCTTAGTTCAATTACAACAACCAAACAATTCCACAATCTTGTCACATTTAGATAAATGTTTTCTTTGAAAATTCCACAATAATGTACACAACATTCAAAAACAAGATGATATCTCCAAAAAAGCTAAAATACCACTTAGATCACTGAATGTCTGAGATTTCAAATTTTGCAAGGGTTTCAGTCTGGACTGTTCTATCATAATGTGAAACAGGGATTATCAAAAAAAAAAAATCAAAACACCCATCATTGTATTTTTACATTTATTGAATGTATAAACATATCAAATGATAAATAAATGTAGAATTTGAAAATAATAATAATAAGTGTTTAAAAAAATCAAAGTTTCAATGTCCTTCTAAACTGATTGTTTAGAAATGTGTTATGCTCAGATTCCCTTTATAATACATGGAACAGTCTGGTCAGTATCCCGGAATGCCCCATGAGGTCAGATTAGTCATGCATAGATAGAAGGAAGGGCAGATGGTAATCATTAGTGTTATCTGATCTGTGTGTTATATTCTGCTGTTTGCAGTATTTATTTATCCTGACTAAAAGAAACAAGTAGAGATTTTGATGCTAAAGCATCAAGTCGCCGGATAGAAAATGACTGCATTATCATAAATATAAAAAAAAATCTGTTTAATTAATGGTTCAGGTATAAAGAAAAGAGGAACAATTTATGTTGAGTAACTGTTAATTCACAATAAAACATCATATATGAAGCAAACTTGCTTAGCAATATTGTTAAGGAACTGCTATGATTAAGCAAGTATTTCGTACGTTAGTTTACGTAACTTATTATGATTTATGCTAAAGATTTTATTGATAGTATAGATCTCGATATTAAATTAATTAATATGTGGTTAGTATAGGACGAAGTTGTGACCTAGTAGGCCAAATTCGAATCTTTGAAAATCCCTTTTGCAGTTTTCATAAAACTATTTTTTGCGCTATCGAAAAAAATAAGCTATTTAGTTGAAATCAATATTCCTGTCGTTACATACGATAAAGTTAACGTTTAATTGCCTTTCAGTTCGATAAAATATTAACAAAAAGATATTTTATTAGTTTTCATTATTATGTGTCGTACCGTTTTGGTAACCTGCGCGACGGAATTTAACGAAGACGACGATTACCACTATTTATTTCAATAAATGTTGCTCTTTAGCATAAATCTATTTTGTGATGTTCAACCTAAACTAAACTATTGAACATTGACAGAAAGGGCAAAATTTAACCCTTTACCAAGATAAAATGAAAAGGTTTTGAAAATGTATTTAATTCTTTAATGTACTAATCCTTTCTAATAATATAAAATATGAAACTGATTAATGAAAGATAACTTTGTAATTATGCCCCCATTTCGAAGAAAAGGGGGTATATTGCTTTGCACTTGTCGGTCCGTCGGTCCGTAGACCAAATGGTTTCCGAGTGATAACTAAAGAACCCTTAGGCCTAGGAACTTCAAACTTGGTATGGTGATTGGTCATGATCAGTAGATGACCCCTATTGATTTTGGGGTCAAGGGGTCAAAGGTCAAGGTCACATTGACCTTGTAAGCAAAAACGGTTTCCGATCAATAACTAAAGAACCTTAAGGCCTAGGAACTTCAAACTTGGTATTGTGATTGGTCATGATCAGTAGATGACCCCTATTGATTTTGGGGTCAAAGGTCAAGGTCACATTGACCTTGTAAGCAAAAACGGTTTCCGATCAATAACTAAAGAACCTTAAGGCCTAGGAACTTCAAACTTGGTATGGTGATTGGTCATGATCAGTAAGATGACCCCTATTGATTTGGGGTCAAGGGGTCAAAGGTCAAGGTCACATTGACCTTGTAAGCAAAAACGGTTTCCGATCAATAACTAAAGAACTTTAAGGCCTAGAACTTCAAACTTGGTATGGTGATTGGTCATGATCAGTAGATACCCCTATTGATTTTGGGGTCAAGGGTCAAAGGTCCAAGGTCACATTGACCTTGTAAGCAAAACGGTTTCCGATCAATAACTAAAGAACTTTTAGGCCTAGGAACTTCAAACTTGGTATGGTGATTGGTTATGACCAGCAGATGACCCCTATTGATTTTGGGGTTAAGGGGTCAAAGGTCAAGGTCACATTGACCTCTTGGGTAAAAACGGTTTCCGATCAATTACTAAAGAACCCTTAGGCCTAGGAACTTCAAACTTGGTATGGTGATTGGTCATGACCAGCAGATGACCCCTATTGATATTGGGGTTAAGGGGTTAAAGGGCAAGGTCACATTGACCTTGTAGGTAAAAATACTTTCCAATCAATAACTTAAGAACCCTTAGGCCTAGGAACTTCAAACTTGGTATGGTGATTGGTCATGACCAGCAGATGACCTATTGATTTTGGGGTCAAGTGGTCAAAGGTCAAGGTCACATTGACCTTGTAGGTAAAAACGGTTTCTGATCAATTAACTAAAAACGCTTAGGCCTAGGAACTTCAAACTTTGTATGATGATTGGTCGTGACCAGCAGATGACCCCTATTGAGTTTTGGGTCAAGGGGTCAAAGGTTAAGGTCATGACCAGTAGATACTTGATAACCCTTATTAATTGTTTGATCACTGGGTCAGAAGTCATGCATAATAACCTTATCACATGACTAATTGGCTGCTGATAGGGGGCATACATGTTTTACAAACATATCTTGTTATTTATACATTTGCATCTAATTAGCCCCCATACCGTTTTCCAACTAGTATGTCTTATCAGCAATCTGTTACTATTAATAGATTCTATAACACTAACATACAACGTGTAGTCACGTGATTCTTACAATAGAACAGGGAGAATCTGTTTATAATTAAATAAAATAATGAAATATAATAGGTGTCATAAGATATAAAACAACCAGATAATTTAAATGTGTCATTTTTAATATCATTCATGATTTATCAATCATAAAATAGCAACGCTTGACACTTAGAAAAAAGTAAAAGTATCCCTAAATTCAATGACTGGTCCATAGGGATACGTTATTAATTCATTTTATGAAAATTGTAATGTTGCTTTTTAAGATGTCAATATTTGTATATTTCAAGTCAGGCACCACACCAGTTATTGTGACCTTGTGAAATTTTCCATTTGGCAACAAACAGGTGAAGTCATGGCAAGGGCGAAGGCATAAATTTTTGTTGTGTAACACCAATTAGAATTACAAGGAAAGTGTTTAATACATCAGGGTAGTTTGCTGAAAATTGCTCGAAAAAACTTACAAGAACTAATTGCAGACTTCCAAATCCTGATAGTTCAACTAATTCACTCTCATTACCTGTACTGTACAATGAGATATTGTGCTATTTTGTGTATTGGCAATATCTCGGCTCTACGAAGCGAGAATCTTACCCAGGACATAATTGTCTCAGATTCTAGCTTTGACATGTCAATATATCTTGACTACAAATCCTGACAATCATCAAACCTGGATAGCCCGGGCCCCTATAACACTTGATTTAGTTCTCTTTGTTCAGTGGTTGCCATTCAATCAGCCACTTTTTATCAACAATAAATCATTAAATGCATGCTTTTTATAACAAGAAGATTGATTTGAAAATTCTGATGTTAAGGGTGCAAAACCAGACCATTTTTACAACTACATGTAGACATAATGATATTAATCAATTCATTTGCAGAGTAACCATTAATGATTGAAACACTCCCTAGCTAGTAAGTAGGTAGTTGTTATTTTTCCCAATTACATTTTATAATGTTTCTGTTTATTCTACAATTTCAGATGCTTGTTTGAGATGCCAGTCAGAGAACAAACAAGATGATTGTGTTGGTAGGTAACTTTTACATTGTATTTTACTTAGATGTCATTTTAAAGAAGAACAAACTGTTATTAACTGCATTTCAGCCCACTAGATTATTTCTTTATTTAAGGTTTTACTTTTCTTTGTAAAATCACAGGCACTATTCTGTTAGGGTGATCCTTCAACTACATGTAGTATGATCTCTTATAACTACAAATGTGTACATGTTAATGTTATGTGAACATTTTAGAGGAAGTGAACTTAATTACATCAAGCAGTAACAAAACATACATGTACATTTCTACTGTTTTCAGGTTAAAACATGTCATTCCATGTTAAAAATGTCATGTGAACTTCAATCAATTGTTCTCTGTAAAACAATTGTTAATGTTATAAACAATATTTCATTAATGTAATGTACCAACTTATATATCGTTGAGAATGCTATAATGATCATAAAGAAAATCAGCCAATAATTTGATGTGTGCACTATTTTCTTTTGTAATCAAAACTTTTTGAGTCTTTATATATGAGCCGTGTCACGACAAAACCAACATAGTGCGTTTGCGACCAGCATGGATCCAGACCAGCCTGCGCATCTGCACAGTCTGATCAGGATCCATGCTGTTCGCTTACAAACTATTACAAATAGAGAAACTAATAGCGAACAGAATGGATCCTGATCAGACTGCGCGGAAGCGCAGGCTGGTCTGGATCCATGCTGGTCGCAAACCGATTATGTTGGTTTTGTCAAGACGCGGCTCATATGATATTTCAATTTCTTTATTTCAGTTGTATGGGGCGAGTGCAATCATTCTTTCCACAACTGCTGTATGACGTTATGGGTTAAACAGAACAACAGATGTCCCCTATGCCAGCAGGACTGGGTTGTTCAACGTATAGGAAAATAATCCGCTATAGTGTCATAATTAATCTTATATCAAAATAAAATCATGTCATTTTGGTGAAATCGACCGTCTATGGACTGAAGAGATTCTGATGGTGTTTTATACCTGTTGAGTTTCGCAGTATGAATATTTTAAGTACATGAAATGACACATGGAGAGTTTTGAATCTATCATATTATTCATTATACTACAATTGTATGTATCAAGTGAATAATGGAACTATTTATCTATATGAGCTGATGTCAAGATCAAGTTTTTGCTTTTGTATTACAAAAGAAATGAAAATATGACGTACATTTGAGGGACATTACTGACAACAGAAAATGCATGGAACAATTGGTTACATTAGTTTATGAAGATGTAATAGTTACGTTGGGAGAAAAGTTTTATTAATAAACATGTAAGCACAGTGAGAAGAAAGAAGTTAAGGCATAGATGTTAAATTTTTGGAAGTCAGAAGTACTTGGATCTTAATTTCCGGCATACAGTTATGTGGATTCTCGGGCGTTTTTTAAGTCCATTAACAGAAGTCTTGTAACAGTACATGTTACTCACAGAACTGTTGGTATTCGGAATTTTTGTTGGTGTCTACGTTCATCTGCAATAGACATGTAACATGCATATATTATGGATTGTAACAGTAAGACTTTTTAGGAACATGATAATTTGATAGTTACATTCAAATATGAAACAAAAGGTATAACATAGCGTAAAAGTGCATCACATTTTGTTTTTTTAGACTTGTTTAGTAAGCAAGTTGTATAAATTTATATTTTCTTATGTAAAATTTACATGTATGCCTTATTCCCATCGATTTGTGACCTAAATAAATGACTGGTATAAATACTTCCGCAAAGGACATACACCATAGTTTTCGGATGTTTTTAGAAGTAATTTAAAGTTTTTGAACTTTTAGATAATGAATTTATTTAACAAATGCACTAATTGCACTGTATGTATGTCTGATATTTGTTGTGCAAGTGCAATTTTTCAAAATAAAGAGTCACGAATTGACGAGAGAAAAGCATAATAAGGACCTTCTCTGTTGGTTTGATTTTTAAAAAAAAAAAAAGACTTGATAGATGTTTAAAAATGTAACATGTGCTTCTTAACAACTTGGAATAATTAAACATTCAAATTAATCAATGATGTTATGAATTTTCAAACGTTCACATATGAATCAATCTTAAGTTATTATTTAAATAAATATTATTCTTTTTCATAAATAAGGAAATTATAGTTGGATCATATTGATACATCTTACCGTGGAAATCATTTTTTTTTTTAATTTTATTAAAATATACTATATATATACTGAACCAAAAAGGAAACTTTTGCAAAGTATGTGCCAGTTGTTCAAGGGTACCACTTAGATGTACACACTTATATACATGTAGTAGCTTGTAAAACTCGTTTTGTTTGCAAAATCGATCAGCTAATCCACGTATAAAATCCCGCTGTGTATTCAACGTAAAAATCGAGTTACAAAAGGATTGAAAAACTGTACTAACATATCTGCATTCAAACTTGGAGAAAGTTTCTTTTTTGTTTCAGTATAGATACCAAGTCAACATTATAATGTAAGCAAATAAAAATTATACATTTATAATAGTGTGATTGACTGACCTTAAACACCAAAATTCTAAAATACAGCTACATTGTATTGGACTAGTCATAAAACAGATTGCAGGTCATATTGGATTCTCATAAACTACTGGTATATTTACCATACTGGCATGCGAGCAGTTCCCGTACAGAAGCAGTACCCATATTTTTCATTTAAACGCTTGATTTTCACATGCATTCTTCAAAAATTCATTTCAAATCAAGCAGATACATAAACGAGACAAAATCTAAGTGTCAGTTTGGCAGTACGTATAAAAAGTCTCATTTTAAATCACTTTCACCTGTGCGTTGTCAAAACGTGACCTTGTTTTATCTGGGGGATTCTGTCCTTGCGCGCATGCGCAAACATACTTACACGTGAGGCATGTTAAAGGGTTTTCCACTAATACCACCTGTTTACAGATAAGAAGGCAATGTGATGAAAACTTGTTTAATTATCAGAATTTTGACCAATATTACTATATAAAATAATTTTATGGCTTTGATGTGTAAAATATCATGCATACAAGCATGCCATCGCATGTGAATGCGTTGGGGGTAGCGGTACCGGGTAATAGATACACGCGTTTAGTCTACTTTCTATTCCCTGAATTACATCTATTTATCTCTTAGAAAATGGTCTGTTCAACAATTATAAATGAAAAATAGGTCCGGTATAATAAAATTATATAATTATAATGAGTTAAATTTTATGTACGGGAACTACTTCTCTTCATACAAAATAATGGGTAATTTCTGTACCCCATATGAGGCCTCATAACTAAGGGTTATTCTATGTTTAGAACATGATGGAATTTCCATGATTTGTGTGACGAGCCGAATATTAATGTGTAACATTCATATTTTGGTGAGAGAGCGTAATAAAAAATAATGTTTAAGTAACTACGATTTTTGTACGGGAACTGCTCGCATGCCAGTATGCACTGTAAGGGTTAAACCATACTGTTTGCCAATTTCAAAGTGACAGAGCATTGCAATGCCAACTGGTACACTGTAACTGTGGAATAAATTGTGATCTACAAGTAATTACTGTAAATTTACTAAATTTTACTACAGTGGCAATTTTATTTGTCAGTTAGGAACTTGTATGTTTTACATAAATATAGATTACATGTACAATGTATATAGGAATGAATACACATGCATTACTATTGATGTGATGTCTGGTTTTGTTCAGGATAAAAATATTTTCTATGGATAATATCTTTAGTTCAACTTTGTTGTTTGTTTTCAAATAAAATAACACATTGTGAACATTTGTTTTATTTGTTAATTATTTTACAGTTTTATATATCATTAGTTACAACACTCAGGACCAAATTTTAATTATTTTTCGATATAACTTTCTGTCATGCCAAATATACATGTAAACACAATCAATGAAATCCTTCAAGTTATTGTTATTAAACCTGTTAATAACTTAATGGAAAATTTGCTTGAATTTGCTTTCACACATTTACTCCCTGCCAATTCCTGCAATAATTCAGGTTTTAGCTGTCACTTGTGTAATGAACAGCATTAACCACTTGGTCATGGAAGGCTCCTCATCACTCCTGTATTTCATTCTTCTGTGCATATAGCATGTGTTTGACAGGACTTCATGTTTAAATGTTGAATTATCCTTAAGCAGATGCTAGGGGGCGTGGACGGTAGCTTGCACTTTTCAGTTATTCCATGAATTTGCTCAATCAAACCAAGCCTGAAACATTTTCAATTTTGCCGTTCAGGGTGTCCTTTAAGGATTCTGTTTATTATTCCCCTCTGAAAAATTTCGGCGGAGGATATAGAAATAGTCTCCGTCCGTCCGACCTTCCGTCCGTCCGACATTTTTGTCCGGAGCATATCTCTAAAAGTATTTGAGGTATCAACTTGAAACTTCATAGGTGGATAGACCTCATTGAGGAGGAGTGCAGTGCACAAGAATGATAACTCTACCTTGCATGATTTTTGAGTTATTGCCCTTTGTTATTTTTCAAAATTGATTTTTGTCCAGAGCATAACTCCAAAAGCTTATGAGATATTAACATGAAACTTCATAGGTGCATAGATCTCACTCAGGAGGTGTGCAGTGCACAAGAATGATAACTCTACCTTTCATAATTTTTGAGTTATTGCCCTTTGTTATTTTTCATACCTAATTTTTCACCTGAGTGGAGCATAACTCAAAAAGTGTTTGAGATATCAGCATGAAATGTCATAGGTGGATAGATCTTATTGAGGAGGAATGTTGTGTGCAAGAATGATAACTCTTCCCTATACAATTTTTGAGTTATTGCCCTTTGTTTTTTTTATGTTATTTTGTCCAGAGCTTATCTCAAAAAGTATTTGAGGTATCAACTTGAAACTTCAAAGGTGGATGGATCTCATTGAGGAGGAGTGCAGTGCTTAAGAATGATAACTCTACCCTGCATTATTTTTGAGTTATTGCCCTTTGTTATTTTTCAAAATTAATTTTTGTCCAGAGCATAACTCAAAAAGCCTTTGAGATATCAAAATGAAACTTCGTAGGTGCATAGATCTCACTCAGGAGGTGTGCACTGCACAAGAATGATAACTCTACCTTTTATAATTTTTGAGTTATTGCCCTTTGTTCTTTTTCATACTTAATTTTTCAATTCAATTTTTTTCTCAAAAAGTATTTGAGGTATCAACTTGAAACTTCATAGGTGGATAGATTTTACTGAAGAGGGATGCAGCACACAAGAATGATAACCTACCCTGCATTATTTTTCAGTAATTGCCCTTTGTTATTTTCAGCCATCAGTATTCACATAGGTTTCAAATCTGTAATTATTATAGCCATCAGTTTTCATTACCAAAAGACCTCTTAAAATGGAATTATTCCGCTCTACTACATATACATTCTTCCAATGAGCAAACACATTCAGCGGGGGATGGCCATGTTGACATGGCTCTTGTTCTATATTAGTAGTAAGTAATAAAAGAAAACTGGCAATGATATATCTTAAAATGCTTTAATTAGTTATCAGGTCAAGATATGAACGGAACAAGTCTAACAGTAAACATGTGTATGCAAAGAAAGGGAAACACAAAAATAGCTAACCTGAGCACCATTAGATTAATATCAAATGTGATGAATGAAATATTAACAAAGAAATTTTTTTTAAAAACCAGACTAAAGCAATTATTCAAGTACATAGAAAAATGACCAAAAATCATCATTCATGATTTCAGAATAAAGGCAAATCCCAATCCTGCAGGGTGTTCATGAATTTTTAAGAGATAAAGTTTAAAAATTCTATAGTTGAAATAAACATGTGAATAAAACCCACAAACAAGCTCATGGGAAAAACAATAATATCTAGAAAAATACATGATGATTATGAGAGAGAAACTCCTGTACAATTATCACATTATTTACCTAACATCACTTAAGACTAGACTGTTGAACAGTACTTCTCAAGGTAATGACAGCTTTTAAGTGAAAAATTTTACTTGATAAATTGAACAGGTATCATTCAATTAATCAAATCTATAGAAATTCAAATTTATCTGTAAAAATAATTTATTTCTTAAAGGAACATGCCTCCAGATTCATGCTAATTTTCATGAAAATTTTGAAAATATATTGTGAAGTGGACTAAGAAAGTAGTCTACACATTGCAAACGGCACTTTTAATCCACGTAAACTACCAAAAAGTGTAACACAGTAGAATTATAGTGATTGATACTGCAAAATCAGTCATTAATCGCACATAACATGTAGATAATTAATTCAATATTGAATCTTTTTACTTTTCTTAACATCATAATACATTTTTCTAAAGATTGAATTTCTTGAACTGGAGGCGTGCTGCTTTAAAGGAACTTCACTGAGGAAAAATTTCTAAAAATATAATTTAATTTCTTACTAAGATCAAATTGATAAGAGTTATGGGCCTTGGACAGTGACCTATTGTGCTCTTAAATAAGTGTGTGAAGTTTCAAGCCATTGCCTTCAGTAGTTTTGGAGATACCAACTTATATGCAAAACGTAACAAACTATGACAGAAAGACCAATGCAGACTTGAGTACAATAGCTCTCCCTATTCTTTGAACAGTCGAGCTAAAAATTAAATTCAGAAGATACATGGTTCAAGCATTCTATAGAATTTGTAATATTGCCAAGTAAATGTCTTTATCACAGTCAATTCACTCTATGATACAGTTATCTATATGAGAATTCAAATCTGCATTTGAAATACCCTTCTCAAAAACCTTACAACAGATTGGACAAGTCGCAGATTTATTCTCTTCCTCCTCTTTCTTTGTCTTCATTTTCTTCAATGTTGAAAACAGCGTAGCCTGTTTGGGCTTTTTGCTAGGCTGAGAGCTTGATGGATAGTCCAAGCTTCTCTTCTTTGAAGAACTGGTCGTAAAATATGAAGAGCTTGAAGAATCCATTTTAGAATTTGAGCTCGAATTACTACTGGTATCTTCAATTTCAACTTTCGTTACCTTGCATTCATTACTGTTATCTTCTTCAGATTTACTATCCAAGTCCATAGAAGAACATGCACTACTTGTTTCACCCACGTCTGCTCTTTTCAGAAAAGTTTCGTAACTTATTTCTTTTGTAACTTTTACTTCTTTTGTAACTTTTACTGTATCTAATTTATTGCCTACATTCCTACAATCGCTGCTTTCACTGCTTTCATTTTTGAGAGTTGAAGAGGTTTTAAAAAAGTTTTTTATGGTCACTGGAGGTTTTAGTGCCTTTGCTAAACATTTAGAATTAACTGGTGTGACATCCTGAACAACTGTTTTTTGAGTATCCGAACTTGATCCATTTGGCAGTTTATTTTGTTCCGATGAATTGGAATCATTTGAAATGACTGTAGTTGTATTTGGCATCTGGTAAAGTCCACTCGATGACTGGGATAGTCCATTTTGAAATGCAGTGGTACTGTTGGAATTCTGGGATAGCTGACTTCCTTGGAGTAGTCCACTGGTGCCAGAGGGTAGTCCATTAATGCCTTGTGACATCATGATTGCTTGGGAGAGTCCATTATACACTCCCTGACTAGATGGAAAGTACTGTGACATCTGAGGTTGCTGTAAATACAAGCAAATATTGCTGGAAACATATCAGAAATGGAAGATCTAATGATAAACAATGTAATAGTATACTAGTAACCCTGATTTTATGCAAATTTTACTATTCAGAGCCTGATGTATTACTATTAATCTTAATTAATAAAGAAGAAAAAAGTCTAGGGAAACTTAACACACAACAAGTAAAACCAGAAATGTGTTGATAGGACAAGAATGCCACTAATTCCACCACTTATTGTATGTGTACAGACAGACAGACAGAAAGACAGATAGCAGCAAAGACAGGCGATGGCGAATCAAATCTATGTGCCCCCCCCCCCCCCCCATTCCAGGCTTAGTGGGGGCATCTGAGGTGTCTTTGCATGAAAGTAAACTTTGCAATATATAAATTTCGGTAAAAATTTTCAAGCTGATATTACTCTGTTATGTATAACTTTCCAAAACAAAAAAGTTCAGGTTGAATAAAATGCTATAGCTAGCCTTGAATTAAATTAATTAAGGAAGACAAACTGCATTTATCCAGTAACAGAACTTCAAGCTGTATGTCCACAAAATTAATTCAGATTTGATTCAATCTAACACTGAAGGCACTAATCAGTGCATGACAATTACAGATTATCTGCTGAGAGTCTTTATACGAGGGTTGTCCCAAAAGTCCGTGACAAATTTTATAGCCCGTTCATTTTTTACGCCAATAGAAAATAATTCACACATATAACAGTTAAGTTTATTATTTAACATTACAACAAATCATTTACAAAAAAATTACTCTAGTTACTTAGAAATTTTCAGTATTAACGACATTGGTTTGAGTTGCCGGCGCACGTCAAATAATTTACATTTTGTTATGAATAGGCTGAAATTAATTACGTATATTTAAAAAATCTGATGATGTGTCTGCACAATGTCACGTTGACTTCATCTGCTGCTATGTTTAAATCATCTCTGAAAATTTGAGTTAAATAACTTAAGAAACGAAAAAGATAGGAATAAATGAAAATATCTCATATAAAATAGGAAAGTTAAAATGGCGACGTTCAAAGAATTTGCGGCGCAGTGAACAGGTCACTCAGGTTTCATGACTATTTCGAGATGACACATGTTACGATTTTCAACAAATATATCAAATAGAACAGTTTAGCAACATATCCTGAGCACTTGTGTACAAAAGGCATAAACGGAACCAGAGTTTTGCGCTACAAAAAGCGAAAATAAGGAAAACACGGATAGGAAGACCGATCTTCGCCGCCTATTTCCTACAGCTAAAAACAGGTGTAACGAGACCGGAAGTTCGCGTATAGCAAAAATTATTGTATGCCATCCAAACATTCAACAGACATTAACAACCACATGATTTAAGTCAGAAATTGACGATTAATGGGTACCATTATTGCTTTGAAAGCCATTGAGAGTATTCGAGAAAGGCGCCTTATATAGATTTAACACGGTCTTTGACGTTGGACGTGCGCCGCGATTCAGTTAGTTGCCATGGTGTTTATGGCATATTTTTGTTGTTTGTTGATTTTTTTCTATAAAAATTTGTGAAAATGATTAAATTATATGGGTTTATAACATATTAAAATATCAAATTCGTGCCTGTTTTATTTAGCTTTTAAACAATCTTGTCACAGAATATTGGGACAACCCTCGTATTTATAAACACTATTTCTGAATACAATTTTTCAAGCCATTTTTTTAGATATGCACCACTATGAAACTAAGAGATTCTTTCTTTTTTTTTAGTTGAGTTTTACATTAAACACTGTGAAGATCATATACGGCAAATTTCCAGATTCATTGATGGAGGAAGACCTGAGTAGAACCAATGTTCTGTAAACTTACATGATAGCTTCTTTACATGAAATAAACCAAAGCCCCTGGTAAAATTTAAGGCCGAGTATGTGGTTTTAAGTCAAAAACGCCCCTACACCCATTAAGTGATTTTACAGATAGAGCAAAAAAGCAACTTACAGATTGTTGAGCATTCTCTATAAATCGCTGTTCTTTCAGTGTTTTCTCCACCTCTGGTATGAGAATTTGTGGATATCTTATTCCTACTACACGTTCACCATCATTTAACTTTACTCTTACAACACGAATAGATGATTCTGTTTTACTGAAAATACAATATTGTAGACAATTAAGCATTACAATGCAATATTTACATGATAAGATATCATTTAAGTAAAGCATTTCTTATAAAATGAAGATTGGCAACTATCAGGTTTCATAGGTTATTCAATTGGTTATAATAATTCCCCAAGTCTCAGCTTACATTCAACTTGAGCTACATGTAATTAGATAAGATGCTTGAGCTCCAAGTAGGATCTTGATAAAGTATTGTAAAATCCACCCATTTAAACTAACTTATTGGCAATTTTGGTAAAATTTTGTTATATCAACAAAAGCCACATACACAATCAAAAATCTAGATAAGCTTATATTGATCTTTATATACCACTTTTGAATTTAACATTAAATGATTACATGTGAATATATCAACTGTAAATTAATGACAATGAATTTAGATAAAACTTGTATGCTACAAAGATTAACATCTCTCTCGGGTTGTTTTTGTTAATGAAATAAAGCAGTATAGCAATTAAGGAGGCATATATGTGGATACAAGATCAAATAAATAATATAGTTGCACTAATAATTTAGTGGTTTCCTACCTGAGATTCAGCTTGGTTGCATTGCGATTGAGTGTACTCTCCAGGATACTCATGTATGTAACTATACTACCACATAGAAGATGTAGACTATAGCAACGACTTCCAACTGTAAATCAACAACAATGAATTTTAGCATGGTATCTCCGCACATTATATTTACTAAATGAAATTAATACAAGCAATTATAAACATTACTAATGCTTATTCGATGATTATGGCATATAATGTGAACACTTTTTGCTATTTAAGAGCCGTGATTTGTACAACAAGCATGAAACTTACCTTTACAAAAGTCTTTATTCTTACAATGAGAGCCATGTACACAACTTGACTTTGTAGTTTCATACTGTTCTTTCCATCCTTTCTCTGAAATAATAAAATAATAAATTAAACCAAGGTTTACAACAGAATTGCCAACCAATGCAACTATGTGACTCAGAAATATTTTTGTTTATCAAATTTAGTGACATTAGAATGTCATATAAACATAACTGAAAGCTAAGCTAAATTATGAGTAACAGTAAATAGGGGTGTGTGTGGCTGAATGGTAACCTTGTCCTTCAATGTTATGGGTTCAAATCCTGCCAAAGACTTTGGATGCTTTCAAAAGGGGGAAGCTATCCAGCTAGCTTATTAAATGTAGTGGTTCTACTAAGTTCGCTTTCAGGCCTGACATGACACCCTGAGGGGCACATGAGGTCGGAAAGTTGCCATATGACCTCTACTGTGTTCTTTAATGACTGATGTATAAAATAACCTTACCTGCATCAGCTCTATCTATTTTAGTATATCTCTGCAACAGATCTGTTTTCTCCTCTTCAAAGAATGATAACCCTGTGTTTGGTCTGTGACAGATAGAACATAATGATTTATACATTGAATAAACACAACAAGCAAAATTGGTAAAGGTTTTTACATGCTGATATTTAAGGTTAAAGTTACGATGATCATCCCTTTCTAAACTTTGGAAACATTTTTCTGTATGTGTACTTTTTGTCTTTTTATGAAAAGGCCTTCTTGGCAAAGTGCTTGAAATTGTTGTCTTTGAATAATTTCAGTGTCTTTAAATCAAAGAAAGGAACAAGTTCTATTCCACATTAAAGCTACATATTATTTAAGTTCTATTCAGCAATTAAAAGCTATCCTTCAAGCTTACAGGAAGGTGTCACATGCTTCAAATCACATAATGAAGAGACACAATGCATAGGTCTCCACTAGTAAAACAACAATTTCACTGCATACCATTTCCATATTTATTGTTTGCATGACAAGATTTTATTTCATACCTTGCTATTTTAAACAGATGTGTGGAGTTCTCTTTCTGTGTAGCTAGAATAAATAGTTTCTTGCCCCATACATCTCGTCTGGAGATATAAAACCCATCTTGTTTCTGGCTGTGATTATCTGCCCTTGTTATAGCTTGTTCCCAGCTCATTCCGCGGTCTATGTTTAACTCCACTAGTCTAAGATAAAAAGACAGTATATTAAAATATAAATTCAATATGGAACGACTGTCTCACAAAGTTGTGGACAATGGCTGTACAACAAAAATATAACGCCAAAGCCTAAAATAATTTTGCACAAGTGTATCTCCATCAATAAGAAGGAAAATAAGACACATTATTTCAAGGAAGTATGCATACATTAAATGTAAAGCATCAATACAGGTCTGATATTTGCATATGCAGTCCATGCCAAAACTAATCATTTTTCAAGCCTTACAGATTATCTACAAAACAAGACTATTGTGATATGGAATTCATTGAATAATATATATATTAAAAGTGCTTTGCAATTTTGAAATGAATTACTGAAAGATGAAATAATGATGAAGTTGTGAAGAGAAATAAGCAAGACAACCTTGTGTCATAAATCTTGTGTCATAAATTGATTAAATAATACAGAAGTCAAGAAATATGCTAGAATGATTCATACCTGGTGGAAGTGTGACCTTTGTTGAACTCTTTGAAGATTTCCTTTGGTTTTCCGACCATCTCTACAGACGAGGCAGTTATATCCAGCATCCCCTCATTATACCTTAATATATCAGTTCAACACAGTTTGAAAATATTTTGACCTATTTCAAATCATAATCTAAATGTATGTTGTCATAATTTTGAAATATTTAACATCATTTCACACAATTAAGCTGTTTGGTCATCAAACAATACAAATGCTATTACTCTATTTCTTGCATATCAGACATTATTATCTACAGTTTACACCGGTGCTAGAAAACTCTGTCTTACACCCCCCATGTAGGACAAGTCGCGTGCTTTAAATGACGTCATTGACGCGTGCCTTTTATGAATGAATCTCGTTCTTAGGATGACGTCATTTTTCCGTTATGAATGAAGTTGTATGTTCATACGCTACTATAAGAAAAATGTGCGTAATGAGAATATCAGTTTTCATAATTTCTGTTCCGAAAATAATTAACATGTAATATGAAAGAAAAAGAATCAAACACCGATTTTTGGTACAGACGGGAATATCTAGCTCTCGGGTAACTGTTTAGCGGAAACTCGGCAGAGCCTCGTTACCGCTGTAAACAGTTACCCTCGAGCTAGATATTCCGGTCTGTACCGGCAGCTGGTGTAAGATTCTTATATTCTATTGACAGCATTTGTAAAAAACTTTACATGAGCTCCACTGAGGTATTAAAGCCTGAAACGTAAAATGTGTGGATCTTTTATTGATCAGTAAATCACTTAAAAGGGAAAATGTAAAAAAGATTATAAAGAAATATACTTGCAGCTAAATTGAAAACTGATATAAAGTATGATTCTAAGCCTAATTTTGAGTTAAAAATCTTGAAAAAAGTTATTTCCAGTTCTACCAACCTTCCCTCTTTCTTTGCATTATCTATACCAAGTTTCATACATTCTGTGAAGTAAGTGAAGATCTGAAAGTAAAATAAAAGCTTGAAACATTCTCCTGCAAATTTTGCTAAATTGATTTTTCCAGCTAGGAAAAAATTAGTTGAGGGACTGCAATATGAAAATACATCTAGATATTATTCCTAAATGTTTGAAATATCTAACATTAGTACCCAATGTAGGTTTGATTGCATATCATAAGTCTTTCCTGGTGGCATTCATATGTCATTATTCCTTCTACTTGGCATTCATAAGTCATTATTCCTTCTACTTCTCAGCATTCTAAAGTCAGTATTCCTTCTACTCAGCATTCTTAAGTCAGTATTCCATCTGCTCAGCATTCTTTAGTCATTATTTTTTCTACTCAGCATTCATAAGTCATTAATCCTTCTACTCAGCATTCAGTCATTATTCCTTCTACTCAGCATTTTTGTAAGTCATTATTCCTTCTATTCAGCATTAAGTCATTATTTATTAAGTAATTATTCCTTCTACTCAGCATTAAGTCATTATTCCTTCTACTCAGCATTAAGTCAATATTCCATCTGCTCAGCATTCTTTAGTCATTATTCCTTCTACTCAGCATTCATAAGTCATTATTCCTTCTAGTCAGCATTCTTTAGACATTATTCTTTCTACTCAGCACTTTTTAGTCATTATTCCTTCTATTCAGCATTCATAAGTCATTAATCCTTCTACTCAGCATTAAGTCATTATTCCTTCTACTCAGCATTCTTTAGTCATTATTCCTTCTACTCAGCATTTATAAGTCATTATTCCTTCTACTCAGCATTAAGTCATTATTCCTTTCTACTCAGCATTTTAAGTCAGTATTCCTTCTACTCAGCATTAAGTCATTATTCCTGCTACTCAACATTAAGTCATTAATCCTTCTACTCGGCATAAAGTCATTATTCCTTCAACTCAGCATTAAGTCAGTATTCCTTCTACTCAGCATTAAGTCATTATTGTGTCGCCTCTACGGAGTAGTGACGACATATAGGGATCACTTCTCCGTCGTCTGTCTGTCCGTCACAAAACTTGTCCGGACTACTCCTCATAAACTACTGGTGCAATTTCATCCAAACGTTACAGGAATGATCACTACCAAGTCTAGTTGTGTATATTGTCAGCAATTTCCGGTTCAATGATTTTTGTCAGAGTTATGGCCCTTTAATAATTTTTATTTTTTAAGTCTGTCCGGACTACTTCTCTTATACCACTAATGCAATTTCAATGAAACTTTACAGGATTGATCAGTAGCTCAAGTCCTTGCGCATATTGCACGAGTTTTCCGGATGAATGATTTTTGGCGGAGTCATGGCCCTTTGATAAAAAGGTGTTTTTTTCTGTGTGTTGCCAGATACACAAAAGCTTGTCCGGACTACTCCTCATAAACTACTGGTGCAATTTAATCCAAACTTTACAGGAATGATCAGTACCAAGTCTAGTTGTGCATATTGTAAGCATTTTCCGGTTCAATGATTTTTGTCAGAGTTATGGCCCTTTAATAATTTTTATTTTTAAAGTTTACCCGGACTACTTCTCTTACACCACTAATGCAATTTCAATGAAACTTTACAGGATTGATCTGTAGCTCAAGTCCTTGCGCAAATTGCACGGGTTTTCAGGTTGAATGATTTTTTGCCAAGTTATGGCCCTTTGATAAAAAGGTGTTTTTTTCTGTGTGTTGCCAGATACACAAAACCTTGTCCGGACTACTCCTCATAAACTACTGGTGCAATTTTATCCAAACTTTACAGGAATGATCAGTACCAAGTCTAGTTGTGCACTGTCCGTCTGTCACAAAACTTGTCCCAACATGAAATTGGCCATCATGAGGCGACAAATGTGATCACTGATCTTTCTACTCAGCACTTTAAGTTATCATTCCTTCTTCTCAGAATTTATTCATTATTCCTTCAACTCAGCATTAAGTCATTATTCTTTTTACTCAGCACTTTTAAGTTATCATTCCTTCTACTCAGAATTTAGTCATTATTCCTTCTACTCAGTATTAAGTCATTATTCCTTCTACTCAGTATTAAGTCATTATTCTTTCAACTCAACAGAGTTAATAAAACTTTCATATGTCTTTAGCTAATTTTTGGGTAGTTTCCCTTTGGTGTAAAATAATAGAAGTGTCACTCTACAGAGTGGTTTTCTGATATACATTGACTGTTCATCTGATTTAGTTTGTCAAATGAAACATTATTGTGTAATGATAAAAAGTAAATGAGGTTATTTTACTTGTTACATACCTATATACTTATGATACTTCTGAACCAAAATGAGAAAACCTGTAACAATAACTGACCAATATAACCTAACTTTACAACTTACCATGTTCTGTTTTTCCACACTTAGTCCAAGGATCCTGTTGAGGAATTTACTAACATCCCCAGTGTCCTTGTCTTTCAGTACAGGCCCTGATCTTAACATGTCAATATCTACCAGTCCCATCAACACCAGGCTAACCTTAAATCATTCAAGATTACATACTAAACAATACTAATGGTTTAAATGTGTTTCTTTTTTTGCTTGTTAGGTTTTATGTTGCACCAGCACAGTATAGGTATTATGGCCACATTCCAGCTTTACTGCTGGAGGAAGCCCTCAGGAGTCCCCTCTGTGCATTATTTCATGCTCAAACAGGTACTTGAGTAGAACCACCAAGGATCAGTAAGCTAGCTCGATAGCTTCCTCACACTAAAGAATCCAAAGTCCCAGTCAGGATTTGAACTCACAGCTATGAGGCCTATAGTTGTAAGTGTGACATGATCACTAAATATAACATAGAATCTATTCCATCAACCCATAATATCTTATCATTTGCCAGTTAACAATTAACAAATTTTCAATACCAGTAAATTTTACCTCAATATTTGCGCTTTAATTACAGCATCTATATGTAAAATAACTTCATGCTTGCATTGTTTTCCAAAGAAAGCTGCCACCCCCACTCACTCAGTTTTAAGAAATAATCAACACTGTTTAATATTCATCAATGGACTGTTCTGGGGTATCAGTAAGGAAAGGTAAAGTGGATCTGTGGAAATATTTTTTTTCAGTCCAGAAATGATATTTCTCATATAAATCTATGCGTTTCCAGTGCTAATGAGCAAGCTAGCATTTCCAAAATTATTGTCCTAAACTAACCTTTGTAAGATCAACAAATTTAAGCCTTAAAATTTACCTGCATATGTCTGTTAAATAATTCAAAATCATATTTGCCCCCAGTCAGCACATTTAATGACAAGCCAGGGACCATCTTTTTCTGAAAAATATAAAAAACAAACAAAGGGATATAAAACTACGCTTTAAGACTTAAGGTAGTCTTACTTTAATGCTTTCCCACCAAATAATTATAACATCAGCCAATATCATAGCAAATCGGTTATTTCCCATTTTTTTTTTTCATTTTTTTTCCATAAATATTAGGCATTAGATTATTTACAATCACTCATCCTTTATCACTACATACGGTTAAAAACTATTGACTCAACCAAAGATTGTGAAAAATAACATTCCATAAATTACAATTTTATTTTGATATTGGCTGATATTAGAAATTTTTTGGTGGGAAAGCATTACAGTGAGACAACGTTAAGAAAGACATGTGACTAATGTGAAATGAGACATAAACTATGACTACAGTAAAACCTCCACACAGTGACCCTCTGTATAGCAATTACTTCTATACCTCTGGTGTTATTTTATGGTGATTTCTGTAAACCATTTTCCGAAGTTTAAACCTTCAGTTTGATCTAGCTACTGATAAGTATGTTTCTGTATTTATGTATTTAAGTGCAAAATTCTTCAGCTAATATTACTAAAACCAGCAAACATCTTGAAAACAATGTTTCATTTGACATTATATAAGCCATTTTAACTATCAAAATTGATAAAACAGATTTTTATGACTACTATAACTAACATCTTTGGGTATAGTACCAGTGTCAAAGAGTTAATACAGAATTTTTTATCTGTCTGATATAGGTGTGTGCATGTTGCAACTAGTGTGCACCTTTTCATATCTTAAAGTCAGTAAGATGGTTAAACATGCATTTAAAGTTTACTTTGTCGCTATTTTTAAACTATTACTTTAAATTAATTTTATCGTTAACAATAGGAACTAGTATACCCACCTCAGACTTCTCTATAACCCCTAAAAATCATTAAAAACATAATTAAGCTGACTGGCTATCCATAATACCGAACTATATATTCTACAATATTTCATAATATATAGTATGATATTACAAATAGTCTGTAACTCGATAATTTTTTATTGATTTATAATATGTTTTAGATGATTTTATTCATTTTATTTTATTTATTTTATAAATATTTTTGGGGGGTTGTAGAGATGCCAGAGGTGGGGGGAACCTGTGAGTTCCTGACCTGGCTACATTCTGTACACCTGTGATTATAATATTAACTATTGAGTTCAACACTACATGAAGTTTATCTTTTTCACATATCTTCCCACCAATTATCTTATATTATTCATGGTTTCGTTTTGGGTTGTTTCGGTTTGTTTTTTTCACACACAAAACTATAATAGTAACATTCTATAACCTGACCTATACTTTTAAATGTATAACAGACATGTTTTATCACCATGCCCCTCTTCATGTATACATTTACTGTTATCTGATATCTCAAAGGGTAAAAACCAGAATGTTAAATACCATAATATCTCCAAAATATGCTCTCATATTTTTGTTTATATTTTTATTTTTTTTACAGGTCACATAAAAGAATCCAAAGTCACTGTTGTGATTTCAATGTAAAGAGGAGAGGAGGTGATTTGAAGTCAACAACCTTCATTAACCACTCTGTCACAGATACCACACCTCATACTTGTATACAACAAATGAAACTGTGGGACTATTAATTAGTCTCTGTTTTTAGTATGAATAAAAACACAAAATCAAAGAATTGATGATAATTTAGTTTATGCGTTTGTGTTTGCTTGTGCATGCTTGATAAATTGTATAAAGAAGGCACATTTTAGTAAATAAATTATAGTACAGCAAAAAATATATCTGAAGTTTATCATATTGATTTTTATAAGAATGGCATTCAATAAATGTTTAATCCATCAGTTAGAGCCTTCATACTTGTTCTTTCAAAAACAATGAATTTTTTTTTTTTAAATAATTACTGTATGTCACACAATTGGGCCATTTTTACTGCATGAAATATTACTTCAAAAAAAATATTCAGGACTAACATCATGATAAACTATATTCATAAAATCAGGTATTTTTATGTATATTTACATGATTGCAGTGCATGAAAAGATTGAAATACCTGATAGTGTATTTGACAAAATTTCAAAAATACCCTTTAAGTGTGTTTCATACCATGGTACATATTGGCAGATGCTGCATTGCCATATACTGGTGTATTGCTTCTTTTTTGTTTTTGTGGGATTGGGTTTAATGTTGCACATACAATAGGTCATAATAATATTATAGCGGCTTTACTGGTGGGTGAAGACCTCAGGTGCCCTTCTGCGCATTATCAAAGGCATGAACGGCACCTGAGTAGAACCACCAACATTCCATAAGTTAGCAAGCTAGACTATGCTTCCTCACACGAAAGGGTCAAAAGTCCCTGCCAAGATTCAAACCCCAGTGATAAGGGGCAAGTGTTTTGAAGTCAACAACCTTAACCACTAGGCCACACATAAATGTCAATGATTTCTGAAGTGCTTCTATTAGATAACAAACGGTATGACGGTAAATCCAGCGGAAACTCCATATCACCTCAGGTTATTACACTGTTACTAAGAATAGCAAAATTCATGTGAGTGATGCACAAATGCAAAATTTAATCATTTTAAGTTTAATCTTATATCAAAGACACAGCTAAATTCTATACCTAACAGCCTGAGGCAAAGTTAAATTGTTTATGTTAATATTCAAAGTATTTGGACTATACAACTAGATACTTACATGCAACATTAATTCATAAAGCACAGTAAGTTCTTTTTTTATTTATTTAATATTTCATATTAAAATGTATTCATTTGACTGTTTCTTTCTTAATTTAAATATCCTTGAAGAAATTAACCTTGAACAGAAATAATAAGCCATTAGAATGATTCAGTTGCTTAATTTTCATGAAAATTTAAAAAGGGTATTCAAAAGTAAAATATTGTGAAGGGAAGAAAGAAAGAAATTTACACATTGCAAACGGCACTTACAATCCACGTAAATTAATTACTGACAAAAGGTCAAAATATGCAAAATATTAGCAAATATACTGTGGATAGTCACTCAGTGGAATATTGTAAATTATAACTCTAATCTTAAATCTTTTCACTTTTCTTAAAATCTCACTATATTTTTCTCAATTTTGATTTTCTTGAAATATTTCGGCTTATCTGGAAGCATTAAAGGGACTCCACTGAGGTTTTTTTGACATGACGGGATTGGAAATAATTTTTCAAGATAAAATAATGTTATAATTATGATGCAGGTCTTAGCCCAATAACTTGTGTTTCAGATAATTTTTTCAAGCATAATCATTCTCATTGTGAGAAATGGTTTTCACTCATATCAGGCTCACAATTGCACAAAATACGATTTTTTAAATTTATTTCTTAGTATAATTCTAATTTATCTTTTGCATATTTTTCTGTTTTAAGTGCCCGGTTGATCTATTCAAATTTTATATTTTAGGATTTTGGACTTCAGTGGAGGTCCTTTAAGTTCAGCATGCACTTATGTTCAGTCTGGCCAGAGTCTACACTAATGGTTTATTTTGTCAAAACATTTTGACATGCCAAAGCTACATTCTGAGATATTTTTGTTCTGGTTCAGAATTTAGTCCAACTAATTGTTTCTGCTTTTTCAAACACATCCTGTGTCAACTAAATTCATTCACAGTAAAGTCTACATTTAAATGCTCAACATTTGCTTAATCAGGTTTTCTTTTCACTTACAGATGGTAATGGCCTGTAACCATGAAGAAAAAGAAATTTGAAGGTGGATTATCTGTTCAGTTTAGCACAGCATTGGATGAGATCGGTTTTGGAGAGAAAGAATCTCTGAAGAGGATTTATTCTATGAACAAACTGTCTGAGGCAAAGAATGTTGCCAACCAACAATCCTCAGGAAAAAACGACTGCCACATTGAAAAAAAAATTGTTGGGAGTCAATGTGATGGAACTGGATTTAATCACTTTAATGACTTAGATTTTCTTGAAATTGATAACAGAGTACATGTTTTGTGTAAATATGAGAAACATTGCACAGAATTTGCAAATGAAACAGTGACTTTCCAGGCAGATGGGAGAAAATCTCCACCTGGATACGTTCCTCTCAAACTTTTAAAAGGTAAAGATGAAACTTACAAACAGCTTGAATATGCCCTTGTTGAAAGGGACAATGAAACATATCTTTCTAGTGATAATTATCTAAGTAAAAAGGAAGATCTTTCCCAAAACAGCAACAGATGTGACTGTCAGATAATTCGACAGCTTTCTCGTGCTGGACCTTCCATTCCAAAACACATCAAACAGAATCCTTTAGCAGAAAGGATTCTGTCAGACTTAAATTTAAAAGATATGGACACAGACATTGTAAGTGCCTTTCCATGTGATGCAGGACCCATAATGGAAGAATGGAGCTCGAGGGAAAGAAAAAACGGATGGCCAAGTAAAGAGACAATTTCCCATGTTGCAAAGCTTCAAGCTCATGTGGTGCCAGTTGGTCAGCGGGGAAGCCATAACGAAGACCTCCTATGGAGAATTTGCTTCACTCTTGGTGAGCTACATCTCGTACAAAATTTCAATAGCATCCAAAGAAAAATATTTGTGTTGATGAAGCTAATAGCAAAACATTTCCTGAAACCAATATGCAATGACATAAGTTCTTATGTCATTAAAAATGTCATGTTTTGGATTTCAGAAGAAATTCTTGAAGAAGAGTTTCATGAAGAAAATTTTGTAGAAATACTTCGATACTCCCTATCATTTTTGTTAAAGGCAGTTAAGACAAAACAATTACAAAATTATATGATACCATCAAGGAATCTATTTGCGGGTAAATTTGAAGACAATGATCTTTGCATCCAAGAGCTTACAGATGTGATATCAAAGTATATTAATAAACCAGAAACACTTCTGCACGATTTGGAACCGATCTTCTCCGATTTGAAAATGGGACACAAGATCGAAACTATCGAGAGAAAAATTCTAGACTCTTTATCAACAGACGAGCTTGTAGAAATGTACGTGCAAATGAATAATTGCAAAACACCAGAAAGAATGATACATCTTAACATTCTATACAAAGCAATTCCATTTTGGAACACCGACATATCTGGGGAAATATTGTGTTCCGAGCCTCTATGTAACACCAATATTAACAATTTTCAAAACCATATCCAACACAACAACAATAATGTTTTAGAAACATGCCTGAACAAGAGTTCAAGTTTGTCACTAAATATGTCAGATGTCACCATGACCCATGGCGACAGGAATCTCTTTTTGTTTTATCATGTATTTGTGTTTTTACCACACTGCTGTATGTAATCTGCTGGAAACTGTCAAAATAAGTCATTTTG